GGGCGGAGCGGGGCTGCTCACGGACGGGCCGTTTGCGGCCGCAGGTCCCGGGCGGTGCCAGCGACCGGCGGGGGGCGAGCGGCGATACCCGCCCGGGTGTAAAAGGCCTCCCCGGAGGGTAAGCCCGTGTGTGGCAAGCAGGGCTAACCCTGAGAAAATGGCTATTTTGCATTTCCGTATCGTAACAGGTGCCCACGTACTAAAGTGAAACTCGCTACGTACCTTTAAACAGATTGGGCACAGCGTGCTCTGGAACTCATTACTTCAGTAATTGTTCTGGTTACAACAGACCACATTTCTCCACAAAACACTGCCTTTTCCTTCCAGCCGCTTCATAAATACCTGCTGGTGCGGATGACTTCTGAACATTAAAATGCAGTCAGATGAAAAGAAACCCTCTTCCCAATTGAGGGAGTGTTCAGTTCTGAGCCCCGTGTTCCCCTCTGTCACGCTTTGTTGCTGATAGCTGACATGTCAAAACGGTATAAAGTTGAATAAAAAACCCATACTGAATTTCTTACACCTCTCAAAAGTTAACAGATAAAATGTCATCGCTTTGTCTTAGCATCGTTTTCATAAGCTGTTCATACATGATTAGCTTTATTACCACTGATAGTTTCGGGCAGATTTCATAGCAATAAGTTGTGCATTTGCTGCATAGGGACCTTGATATTAACTGCCTAAAGGAAAATCAGAGTAACAGATGAGAATAAAGAACTGTTTTAACTATAGAAGGTCAAATTCTGAGTCTGTAAGTCGATACTACCCACAATTCCAGATTTTAACAAATAGAGAGTGAACAACCTTTATTTACTCTTCTGTTTTCCACGTACAGGGCTGGTGTATACCCTCAGTGCAGAACGCAGGATGAATTCTTCAGATCCAAAGTATATTTCAGTTTTTTCTCCACACACTTGCAACATGAATAAAAAACATGTTCCTCAGAACGTACTTGTGCAGTCAGATTTCCACCCTGCGGATTGGAAAAGGCCATCTGTAAGCAAAAGGGGCTTTGCCTCACGTCTGCACCACTCCCAGGAGTCTGACACTGAAAGCCTTGTTCAGGAGAGACAGTATCAGTTACAACTCCAGCAGCGGATTCGTGAAAGTGAAGAGCTGGTAGGACTGTATTCTGAAGAGCTGGAGAACGACAGCTTAGAAGAAGACAGCTTGGAGGAGATGAGTTTAGAAGAACAAGGAGCTGAGTGTGACACCAATCGATACACAAATGGAATGCTAAAGAATGATGGCAACGGAAGGTAAGGCGTAGGATTTTAGTAGATGAGTAGAATAGTTCTGACACTTTAAAACCTTACAGTCCTCAGAATATCCATGACATCTTCAAGACCAATGTGTATCACCAAAGTGCTATTAAGAGCACCTACAGACTTAGTTACACACATTGATGTACTGTTTCATCTTACCCACATTCATAATTATACCCATTTCTCCAACATGGCCTCAGCTGTTTATTATGTTGGCTGAAACACCAGTGTAGAGGGGTAAGATGGAAAAGAAAACATCCCTCACATACTGGCTCTAGACACTGCATACAGAGGGGAATGCTATGTGCCTATTTAGTTGCCTCTGAAACAGGCAGGCAAGAAGGTAGGAAGTGATGAGCAGATATGTGGTAACCTCTATTCTTAACCATTACTGGGTAAGCTAACGGGGGAGCATTTACCTACAGTTTCTTCTGGTAAAGGCCTATTAAATGTAGATTCCCTCATTCCTGTCTACTTGATCCAGAACTGCAGAAGGAGTCCAATGACTGTGGACTGGGCACTACAATATTTAGCAGTACGTGCTGGCTACCATCTCAAACAGGCAACCATTGCCCCGTAACTGTCAGACCTTCCAATGCTGCAGCAGCTCTGAGATCGTGGCCTACAGGGTTTCTGGAGCTGGGCTGTGAAAAAGGACCAGAGATAAAACAAGAACCAGTACCAACACGTCCTTTTCTCCTTCCTTCCCAAAAGATCTGTGCTGAGCAAACCAGGCCGCTTCCTGTAAGAAAACTTAAAAGGGCAAAATTTGGTGGGTTGAATAAATGCAGGTTTGTCCTTATAACTGTTTAAATCTAAAATTAAATTTTCCAGGGTTATTGTCACCTTTAAACATGCTTTAGAAAGCGTTAAGTTGGTATATAAAATAAAATCTAAATTGCTGTCATATGCACACAAGGTTTAACACTATAAATTGGGAATAATTCTCAAGTTTAAAGGGATTAAATTAAACCTGAAGTAATAATGATGTGCAGTTTCAATTTAATTGACTACTTAAAATAAAATGGCAAACAAATGAAGGCTAAATGATTAATAGCATGCTTTTATTCACCTCCTCAACAGGCAAAACGGCCAGTTATTGAATATTTTATTGTGAGTGCAAATGATGTTAATTGTACTAGAAACATGCTCTAATTTTTAGTAATTTTTTTGACTGAATACTACGCTGAATGTGAGGCTCTTCATTAAATGGAAATTTAATTTTATTTTGTTTGAACTTAGGCTAGTAAGTACTCAAATACAGTCCATTAACCGGAGCAAATATCACAGCATATACATATGAAACCCCCTCTCTACATCCATTACTAACCTCGGAATTTGAAGAGGAAATGCTGCATCTGTTGTCTACATACAACACTTTTGTTGATGAGTACAGAGTCCATCTAACCTTTATATCAAGTTGGGGGGAGGAATAAAAGGTGCACTTTTTGTCTGCAGATGATTAGAGATGAAGGAGCTCTTCACACTCATTTTGTTCCCATGCGGTGACCTGGTCTGCACAATACAATTGAGCTGCTGTGCACACATTTCAGCACAATAGAACTCTTTAGCATTGTACTCCGTCGTTTGAATCACTGCAATTATATCACATATTTCTGTACTCATTTCAAACTATTTCTGTTTACCTGCGGTGTATGACAACTAGGAATAATAATGTTTTCACCAGTGTAAATCATCTAATCTCTAGTATACAGGGTACCACAGCACCAATGCTTACCTGAAATGAAAAGCATTGCTAGAGAAACAGATTATTTCATTATTAGGAGCCACTCGAAAGATAGGCATAGGCATGTAACTAATTTAGAAAGGATGAATAAATGATTTATGGAAATGTTAATATGATTAACTGTGCCATGGTTTGGAGAATCCAGCAAATCAGTACATTTCTTTTCATAGAGGCTGAAGAGTCAACCAGGTTTCAGGACCAACAAATGTCACTCTGACAGGCTCACCATTTGTCAGTGCCCAAGAAACCAGGACTATACTGCAGGTCCTGTTAAGAAAAAACAGTGTTAAAAGCTTTTTTCTCCCACGCTCCTTACTCCTGCCACTGCCCACACGTCTCCTGGAAGCCAATTTGTAGGTATTTGGCCCCTGCAGTTTTCCTTCTGTTGGAACTGACCATAAATCATAAACTACAAATGTAGTTTGGAACAACAGTTTGGACATTTGGAGGTTTTTTTTTTTTTAAAAAAAAAAAAAAAAACAAAAAAAAAACCCAAAAAACAGACCCACAAACCTTTCTGATTTATGTCTTTATACACTTACCACAATTACAGCCTCTTTTTTTAATGAGAAGTTACTTTAAGTCTTTGATAGTTTTTTTATTGAAACATCCTGATGTATCATAGGAGTGAGAAGAGAGAATAAAAATACAGAGCTATAGGCTGTTCTTGCCTAGACAGTCTCAAACTGACATTTGAGAGAGTGATTTTACCAGGAATATCACTTTTATTTCACACAGCAGAGTCTTTGAAGAATGAGCAACACATACTGTCTTTTGCAGGCCACATCATTTTAAAGGGGACAGCAGAAGCGGTACTACATCTCTTTTCATCTTTTAGTAGATTCTACTACTACTTCTGATTCTATGCCAAATTTAGGATAAAGGTTGTATTCTACTGTGACCTTAATATTAGGGCAATTTATCATTCAGTGATAGTAAAAATTTAAAACGAAAAGGAGGTCCTGCCTAAATTTTCTGCTAAAAAAATGTTGGATAAAACTGATCTGATCCCAGGCCCACAGATGGCCATACTGTATGCACTGAAATAATTCAGTTGACCATACTGGTTGGCTCAAATTGCACACTGAAATACTACAGGATTTATACAATTTATACATAAATAATCTTGTGTTTCTTTTTTTTTAAATAGGAAACAACAGTCTGTGGACAAGTATTTCAGCCTAAGATACAATCCTAACTGGGAGAATGCAAAAGAGGTAGCAGAATTTTCTGAGGCAGAAAAAGCATGTCAAGGTGCTGGAGGAAGCAGCGTGGTCTCCTCACAAGATTCATTTTACCTCCATTCCAATGGCTCCCCCGAAGAAAAGAGTCAACAGGAGGCAAAGTCACAAGACTCATGCTCAGAGTTTGGTACAGAATTACTAAGCCTTCATGAACCAGATGCTGTGGTCAGCAATGAACCTTTTAGGCTACAAACCAAAGGGAAGGAATCTGCAGATGCCTGTCGTTTCAAAGACAGTCCCAGTACAGACGGCAGTGCTTTTTCTCCTCAGATTCAAGATCAACCACAAAGAGCAAAAAAAAACTTTGTGGAAAAAAATAAAGATCGACCACAAAGAGCAAAAAAAAACTTTGTGGAAAAAAATAAACGTACTTTAGGATTACGGACAGAGAAGATAAATTCCTATCTTCAGTTACACAGTAAAAAGCAAGAGGGAGTTGTTCAAGAGCAGGTAGGTAATTTTTACATGTTTTCTAATTGGTATAAACTGAGGACTGTCTAGTGTTAAAATGGAACAGCTGCATGATCAGGTTTGCAGAGGATTAAGTACATTTACAATCTATCATGCAGGTGATAGCTTATGATTTCCAGTAAGAATCTTGTTCACCATCTATGGAATTAGTTGACAAGTCCTCAGTTACTCACAACCCCAGGGACTGATTCTTCTCTGCTTGGCCAGCATGAATTTGGTAACAATTATCTCTGCTAATATCATATTCCTAGTTTTGCTCAATGCAGCAAATGCAAATTGCTTCTAATAGCAGAACACTCACAGTTTTTAACTGCAGTAGGAAACCCTGCTGTCACCATTTGGCTTAAAAAGCTGTGTTCTTCCACCCATGTCGTTCGTAACAAAAAAGTGAAGTTACAATTGAGTTTAAGAACCAGAAAACACATTGTGGGCACGCTGCTTTCAAGGGCCATGCACGCTCTTGCTTAGAACTGTCATTTACAGCCACAAGTGTAGGAGTATTCAAGAAATATGTGTTAGATTTGGGTGGTCAGACAACCCTTTGGCCCTGCTTGCTTTCTCAGCCACACCAAACCTTACAGTTGTAGTCAGTCAGGAGGTACCAGTCATGTACAGTGCTTGAAGGGCCTAGCTTTGTTATGATTGACTGCAAAATGTCAGACAACTTGTCTTAAGGATTAAGTGGAAATGTAATTACACTTCCTAATGAACGATTGTACATGAGTTTGTTGCTTTTACTTGCTACTTATTATGCATAATGGGAGGGTGGGAGTCATTGAATCACTCCACGAGTTGTAGCATAGAAAATTCTTAACTTGTAAAACTACAGAGACTTTCTGCTTCACGTGACACATTTTCTAAGCTAATGAACAGTTGACACAACGTTAGAGGGCATCTGCTGACTACATTACGATGAGTGTAATGGTGGACAAGCTTCTTGCTAGCAGAGCTATTAAGAGCACTTGTTTTTTTCAGTTATAATTTGGTTGATGGTAAAAATAATTAGTGTAGATTGACGCTAATTAAAGCTGCGTTGATATGATTATGTTTACTATTTGGGGAATTCTGAAAATGTTTCATATGCAGGTATTGGAGCCAGGGATCAGAACTTCATCGTGCAGACACTATTCAAACATATGTAATAGTAAAAAAAAAAAAAAAAAAAAAAAAAAAAAAAAAAATCTTAAAACCTGGGTTATGTTCTAAGATTGCCTTGCTGAAGTAGCCATGGGGACAGCAGAGCTGTGACACAGCAGGAGCCAGGCAGCATGTGCTTCTTTCCTTGACAAGTTGATAGAGCTGCAACAGCATCACCACCTACTGTCAGCTACCTTTGTGTTTGCTGCCAGTAGGCATAGGAAGTACTTGCCTCTCTTGTCCTGAAGTGATACAGCCCTTGCTCCGTCTTGCTGAAGGGGGTGGAAGGCCTGACAGGAGCATCTTGTTGACCCGAGCTGGCCCACAAACCAACGTTGGTCACCTCACCTGGAAAACTTACCAAAAGTGGAAAAGCACAAAGTATGAGAAGAACCAAACAAGCCACACGTCTTCCGCTGGAGCAATCAAACACGTTCTGAATAGTTTTTTTCCTAAACTGGATTGTTTTAAGCTTTGCAGGATGTTGAAGCAGGATGAGCTATTGATATGATCACTGTTGGCTGTCAGGTACTGTGATAATGAAATAGTTGAAGTAACTACTTCGCACACAGCTCTTTTCAACTGACATAACATTAGGTAAAATATTTGCAGCCTCCTTCTTGCAAGATTTACAGCTGTTATCTCTGCACATACAGACAGCAGGCTGTATGTACCAAAACATACCGTAAATGTGTGTTGATCTGTATATTTACTAATTGATATAACATTTTATAAAGCATCAAGTTCTTTGCAGTGTTGCCTGATTCTTTAAGAACCTGATGATGAGTTTCTTTGAGAGAGAAAGAAAGAAAGAAAGAGAGAAGTAGTGGCCCAATCTAGCTCAGCTGTACTCAATATGAGTTGCTTTCCTACCTACAAGCCCCTTACTTCAAAGCAAGGAACATAATGTACAATTTTTTAATGGCTCTAGACCAAGGCACTCAGACTCTCTGTGCACTGCGCCTTACCTCAGTGTAAACACCTAATCAAGATTGCCTGCGCTTCAACAATAGCAGCCAAATGCAATTCGAGAACCACAAGCCTTTGAAGTCCTCACTGCAAAGGCCGGTTTTCTAGTCTGGGATAATGACATGCCATGATTGCTGTCTTTGTTGTATCTTTTCAGTAGAGAAGCAATTATGGGCCTCAATTTAACAGAATAGGCATTACACAGCTTATGATTCTCAAAATGCAATTTCATTTGATCATTTTCTCAATTTGATTGGTATTAATAGAATAGTTCACAAAAAATGCTGGCAGAGGTTGTGTCCTGTTCCTCTTTCAAAGAGATAATGTAGAAGTATGCTTTACCTGCCCAGTAAACTATCAACGCAGTGAGGCAGTTGGTTCCACCAAAAACATCTTACTGACTGCAAAGCTGTATCTATCCACGGATCAGGAAACCTGTGCGGTAACTTTTAATTTGTCAACTTTTTCCATCGCAACTAATAGAACCTGCAATGACATCACCTGAAAACTCAGCGATAAACCCTACCTGCCTTTTCCTAGTTGTCCTAATCTCTCACCCCCAAAGATGAGAGGCTCAACTCTCTGAAAGGATTTAACACTTCCTTCACGCCGATTTCACCGTTATGATTGTCAATTAATAATTCTCTTGGTCACAAATATCTTCTCGGTGCAAGTTGTCCTGTGTTAGCCAGTGTCACTCCGCAGCGGTGCACAGGGACTTCTGCCACAAGCACGAGTTCAGCACATAGTTAGCTGTAGTTTCTTTGAGGTGAAACTGCCTATCTGCACGCTTAGTTGACTGTCACACCTGCTAAAGTACTTTGCAGGATGGTTTGGGGCAACACAAGTATAAATAAAAAATAAAACCCCTTTGTTTTTCCTGTAGTTTTATAGATCGGGGAAAAAAAAAAAGTTTGATGCTCTCAAGAAAAATGTTCATTATTGCTCTATTTACGAGGGTATTGCTTGGCTTCAAAATCTGTAGTGCCTGCAGCCACCCGCAAAAAATTGCTCAAATTTGATTTCCAGCCATAGTGTTACCATGACTGTGGCCACATGAAGATGTTGTTCTTGTTTGTGGGCTTGCTGTTTGATATTGTTACCAGGCTATGTGTATTAGATGTTTTATTTCTGCAGCTACTCCTTGTACTTTTCTACCAACTTTACTGTGTTTTGCCATCTTTTTTTCTGCATACTCTGTTGTTCAAGACCTTGCTGTGGTGTGTGTCATCCATCAATATCTTGGTACACTGGCTGATTGCTTGGACAATGATGGTTGTCTAGTTGTTTTTCTGTTATTAGGTACATCCACTGGCTCTCATATAAATGGAGAAGCATAGACATCTGAGAGTTACAAGTAGGTTTCTGTGCTGCATACTTCCTGCAATTTTATATTCCTCTCTTCTTCTTAAAGTAGAAGGAATACTCCCTACTACCACACCACTGTTAATTGGGTTTTTTGCTTCCTTTTTCATTTTCTCTTTTAGCTGTTTGTTTTCTCGGTATCTATTATATAATGCCTAACGTTAGCATTTTCGCTTTAAAAGGAGGCAAATTATTTCTCATTCTTTCCCCAAGACTTCTAAATCCTTTCATCTGGTTGGGCTGTGGCCATAAACATTCTTGGTTTTTAGGTTACAGATCCTAAAACTGTCGCTGAGGAACCAGTTCAGAGCGTCCTACCATTCCAGACTGTGAAGATGGAGCCTGAAGACAAATGGTACCTGAAAGCACAGCAGCTCAAGGTTCCTTTTTGATAGAACATGAACATTGAAATATATCTGTAAAAGCATTGAAGTTTGAATATTTAAAGCTATAATGTCATTACTTTTAAAGTACCAATTACTGACAATAAATCCTTAGATATATATCAGTAGATAATCACCAACAGTTAATGTGTATGGTGCTTTATATACTGAATGATTTAAAACCAAAATAAATTCCAAATCCCAATAAACAGAGAGCTCAAAGAATCTGATCTATTTAAGACATTATTTGGTTGATAATAATGTAAAAGTACAAACTAATCCATGGTCATGTTTGATGGTTCATGAGGATTCTGAGCTAGAACTTAACTACTGTTGTATTACTTGTCCCCTAAAACCCCTGTGAACATCAAGGGGTTACCATAAAATGGAAAATGTTACAAGTAGAAAAAGTTGCTCTGACCTTCTCCAAACACGTAAGTCTGTAGATCTGTTTTATGTTGGCCTTTCAAACCAATGCAGTGGGATAGTCTTTGACGTGGTAAAAAAGATCAGGTTATCATCACGGATGAAAACCCAAGAACTTCAGAACCAGAACTTCAAGCCAACTGGAATTCCTCTTGGCAAACTTAGTTACTCTCTTTGTCTTACAAGTATTTGAGGTAGTTTGGCAGACAGTTTAAATTTCCCACTGTTCACTTAAGACTGAAAGCTGCGCTTTGGTAAAGGACAACCAAGATTACATGCTGCTGTTCATTGTGAGATGTGCTTTATATATGGAATTTCAGAATGAAGGGGGGATTTTACAGGGCTGCTGATTCCGTTTAAATAGGAAAACACTGGCCTGGTCCCAGTTTGGCAGCAGTTTATGCTTTCCACCAGTGGCACAGTATGCCAGAACATTAATCGTTACAGCAGAGGTCGAGCTAACAAATCATTATCTTGGCACCAGGAGTCAGGATTCCCCAGTGCTAAAGCTTTTGCCAAAACATTCTGCTCTATATATGGATTTAATACCTACCATTAAGTAGTTATTCTGAGTGCATATGCTATGTAGTGATTGCAAGTGTTGCTAACAAAAGAACCCTAGAGAGACAGGAGGATGAAATGGAGGATTTTAGCACTGACAAAGATTAAATGGACTGAGAATGGATTTGTATATTCCCTAGAAAGAAAGCCATGTCTTTCCTCAAAATGGGCAACACCTGATGCTGTAATTGGAAAGCGAAAAATCTTAAATAAATTCCAGATTTAGAGTATGTCAGTTTAGCTCAAGAGAGTAGTCCTGGTGTGCTTAAATTCTTAAATTGTTTCTTATCATTTGGATAATGTTTTGCAGGATACAGGGCAGAGAGGGGTGCTTGGTTTAGAAAAGAAATCTTTGACATTGGTCTGTTAGCAAAAAAATAGATAGCGAAGAACACTGTGCATAAACTAAGTCTACTGCTAGCTGCACAGAGTTATATCAAAACTTGCCTTGCAGGGTGAGTACCCAGAGTCATTCCAGTGCCAGTTCTGGCTTGCTACACATGGGGAAGGGCATGAAAATCCTTCGTTATGTAGAATTTCACCTGCCTTGATAAAAATGAAGGTTTTATTTCACACAGAAAGTTAGTTCTTTCAGTACTCTGCAGGCCTGATCCAAAGCTGTTCAAAAGCAGTTTTCATTGTCTTAAGCTAGCTTTGCCTCAGGCTGAAAGTTTCCCCATCTATAATTTTTTCCATTTATTTTAAACAATTTCCATACACTTGGGTACAAAGTCAGTTATTGAGAAATACCCGTCTTTCCATCTTCCTGTTCCCAGTATATTCTGTGAGCAAGGAGCATTCCATGTACAGATTGCTTGTTGAGCTATCTGCTACGGTCAAATAAAGATTCATATTTTTCCCCCCTTTCTTTTTTGAGGCCCTCTCAATCTTCTGTTCACAGTTCACCAACAGCCCCTTGTTCAACCTTCCAGTTTACACAAGCGATGGAGCCACATCACCAAGAGATCACTCGTTTGACAGAAGCTCACTTCACTGACAGGGACTTGTTTGGCCTTCTTCCACCTATAATGCCCCATGTAGAAAGGGGTTCAGAGGTAGATCCAGAGAGTGGTGAAGGAAATCAAGTGAAAATAAGCCGAAGCAACTCAGAAGGATATATCATGCAAATGGGAAAGCAAAACCAGCCTAAAGTCAGAAAGAAGGTAAGGAAATAGATGCAGACTGGATGGGTTTACATTTCTATTTCCCCCCCTGCTTAATATTTATTTTCTTAGTAATCCAAATATCTTCACCAAAAAAAAAAAAAAAAAAAAAGGAATGGGGGCTAAGAAATATTTAATTGTTACAGAGAGCACACTGACACACTGACTTGCCCAGAGCATTAAAAACCAAGGAACAAAGGTGGAAACAGACACTCAAATCACTTTAGTCTAAAGAGCATGGCAGTTCACCACCATGTCACTGGCAGTCTTGATTAGCTCTAAGAACACACAGAGCACTGTTTGTCCTTTAAGTTATCCGGCGATAAAATGATTTAGAATAAAGCTATTTGTATAAAGCAGCAGGTAGCCAGGCCTCAGATCTGAGCTAAACCATTATCCTGGTCACGCTCATTTACTATCCAACTCAAATCTTTTCGTTTCCAAGGGAATAAGACTGAACAACAACAAACTTAGAGGATTTGTGAAGCTAATAGCATAAACATTATTACAAGTCTCCTGATGATCCCACTTCGGTCCTTATTAAAACTTGTTTCTTTTTGTCTTTTCTGTGTGTCCGGTTTCATACTGCAACCAGTTAACACAGGCAGTGGAACAGCACAGAGATATCCCTGTGTGTCCATGACAAATTATATGTTTAAGAAGTTAGCTCCAAGTCTCAGGGCAGACAAACTAAGCTGGAATAATTACTCCTGTGTTTCATCTAGGAGACAGTTTGTGTATTGCTGCTTGAATGCCTCTGAGAAGAGTTAGCTGGATTATGATAGTAACCGAAGGGCAGATTTCCTTCCCTTTCTGTCCCCCTGAGTTCAAACCATTGTTTCTGTCTCCTGTATTTTCAGTAGCTCTCTCACGCTTCATACGTGAGAAATGCCACAGACAATATGATGGTTTATGTCTCTCAGAAAAATCCAGCTTTTCCCAATAAACAAATGCAGTCATACTCATCGCATGAAATGAGAAATCCCTGATTTTATTGTAGACAGCTAAATGATTAACTCTTCACAGTACCTTAAATTAAAAGATAGGTGTAAGTATATCACAAAAGAATAGGGATAACTGACAGAAAGAAACATAACATTGAAAATTCAGTGCAGAGAATGAGTTTCTCTGCAACATGCCCTTTGAAGAAACGCACATTTTATTTGCATGTAGAAATTTCTTGGTGTTTCTGCATTACACTGTGATTGAAATTACTACAGAGCTGATCATAATGAGTTTCCACTGACAAGTTTTTAATAGGCAGTCCACTTCTAAAAATTAATCTAGTGTTCTTGAAAGAGATTAGAAAGGTTCAGGAAGTATTGGGGTCTTTGTAGTAATGTCATGAAGTACTGAAATGGCATCCCCCATCATTCATCTCCTGTCTTCCCTGTGCACTTGTAAAGCTTTTGCTGTGCTGCAAGGCATATATTTTTCAACTGTCTGTGAACAATTTTCCACTGCAGTTTTGAGAACAAAGAAGGATAACTATTACGAATAACATTTGCCTTTTTTTTTTTTTTTACCACCAAAATCAGGTACTTTTATCTGCTTCTCTTACAACAGTTTCTTTGGAGTTTCATTCTAACAACAGTCAAATGGGTCACTTTAAGCTGTTTAAAAATAAAGCTCACAAAAGATCATTTTTGACAGAAAGTATTGCTTTGTGATTTGGGCAATTGCCAATTACCCACCTAGAGTCAAAGGAAATACAGTGTAATTTGATTTATGCAAACTCAGTCTTTTTGGTCACTCACGATCTTTAAAATGAGACATGCCACAAGTAAGACTGACACTGCAAGTTGAATCCTGCTCTTACCTCGCGTGTCTACTACAAGACTTGCTTTCATTATGTTCTCTGTGAAATCATATAAAGAAAAATCTGTCACTGCTGTTTGGTTTTCAGACACGTAGCTCCAAAGCCTACATAAATCTGAATGTGAAGCTTGGAGGCCTTGGACCTGACTATGAAGCAATCAAAGAGAAGGTAAGAGGTCCCTGTTGTATGATCTGCTTTTCAGCTGTGCAAAGTGAACTTAGCCAGGGGAGAATGGCAAAGAAATCACTGCTGAGAAGCAACTTATGTTTGTCTGATGCTTTATGTCCCTGAGTCTAGGTCTAGCTTGAGATCCTAAGGGGAGATTCAAATAGAAAGACAGACAACTGTATTGTGCATAATTTTATCCCTCTAATTTTGTAATTCCAGAAACAGGGAGTATAGTTCATGGAATTCGACAGGGCTAATTGCACCATCAGTAAATTATACACTGATGTGGCTGAGTTGCCAGTGTGGAAGGTTTCCCTAACCTTCAAAGTGGAAGTAAAAGAAGTTGTGTAAACACAAGAAGAAAATAGCTGGATGCACATTCCCCTGTGGAAATGGAGACGGATTGTTCAGAACAAGTATCCGAACAATTGATATTGTTTGACCTGTTCTCTGCTGATAATGAGGGTCTGGTAACAGCTGTATATTGAAGGTGCTGCAAACCCATCCTGCATGCTTTGAGACCCAGTTAATCTGACAGCAGGTGCTCCATATGGAATTCTTTATAGAAACACTGTAGGACAGCAGAAGGAAGAAATGACAAAATTATCATCCCTATGGAGTCCTTGAGAAGCTGCTGTGTTTTCTTCCTCCTTGCCATAAATGAAAGAGATTAGAGATCTGAAATGGGAATGGGCAGAGCGGTGCAGAGCTCAGGACTCTCTGCATTTTTAGCACCATCATAACACATCTGCAACCTGAAATGCCACTGTGGTATCATTGCACTGGCTGCTGACAGGGGCAGCGTAGAGCATACTGCTGAATTGGAGCCTAATGCATTACTAGAAACATAAAGACAGAGAATATCAGTTCAGTAAATGAAGCGGGTGACTTAGGGCCTTAAAAGTTAAGTACAGAGGTTTTAAAAGTCATTGCAGAAGCTGACAGAAATTAGCACAGCCATTTTAGAACTGAACAGATATATTGAAATATTCAGAATAAAGTCACATTTCTGTTGAGCTCTCTCCTCAATTCAGTCCAAGAAAAGGCTCTTAAAAATGAAAGGTGACTAAAAAAGCTGTGCCATTTATCAGGATTTCCTGTTGTGTTCTGCTGAGGAGTGATCAATAGCATGGCCAGGTTAAACAGCAACAGAGGTGTAAATGGAAGACTCCGATGGAAAAAGTGTTTCATTGATGGATCCACTGAGACATTTAATTAACCGTATGCTTTTTTTCCCTTTTGTCAGAAAGAGAAGTTAAAGCAACAAAAGGAATATGCAAAGCAAATTAAGGAGCACAACATGAAAAACATTGCTTTGGTTCAGAGGTTACCTACAAAACCCCAGGTCATATCTTCGGTGTCAAGGCAGAAGGTAAGAACAGAGTCCCTGTAAAATACACGCAGGGAGAGATTCCGGCCTTTGCACAAAGGAAAAAAAAAAAAAGCATACATTTAACTCATGGTAGGCTAAAATAGTGTGTCCACTTTGATTTTCCTTTTAACAACTCTAAGGACTTCTATTCTCATGGGATCCTGGCAAGTGCTCATCTGTGCATCTATTCAGTTATGGCTGTCCTTGCTGATTTCTTTGCCAACAGCAGCCTTCGGTCCATGCAGCTGCCTTGTTCTTCATGAGAGTGTACCAAGTGGAGATGGAGCCGTGCTCCATCCGAGCTGCCAGCACTCAACTTGGCTTAAACAGCTAGCGATGTTTTCCTGGGAAAAAGGGTGGGAATAAAGGAGAGTGGGACCCCCCCAGGAACGTTACCCAGGGCAGCACATGCTCTGCTTCCCATCAGTGGTAGAGGCCACACTACTGCAGAGAGCACTCTTCTAATGGACCACAGATATCCTCTTGTTAGTCTATTATCCACCTGCCTGTCAGTCTCACTCACAAACTCTTTTCAATTCAGTTGCATAGCTACAGTAATTGGTCTTATTTTTCAAGCCCATACAACATCACTTTAGCCTTCACCGGCCTTCAAAAATAGCCCAAATGAGCAAAAACTCACGACATGACAGTGGCATACATAAACAAACAAAGGGAGCACCTTTTCCCTGTTGCAGGAAGTAATAAAGCTCTGGAAATAGCATATATTTTATCCAATCAGTTCTGCAGGAGCTCGCCTGCCTGGTGCTGAAAGCACGCTAACAGCTATTTCTCCAAGGTGATAAATGAGAACTGCATACTTCAGGAAAAAAAGTTTTGCTGGAGTTTAATATCAGTCGAATTCCTCAGTTACTTGCATTTATTTCCAAACTTCAAATAAACCACAAAGAGATGAAACTACATTCTTTGGGTGTCAAAAGGGCTGTGGATTCTCCTTCAGGAGACTTCCCAGACACTCTTTTTGCAAAGAATGTGAGATAATGCAACTTCCACTTGAAGCATAACAGGTGTTTCCAAATACATGCGACAAACTCGGACACCAAAAAATGTCCCAGGTTAAACCAGTGTCCTCTCAGTCACAATAGAGCCTTTACCTATACCTCGCATTCACACTTGCAGGTTTACCCTCATTCTGCTACAGAAATACACACTTGGGAAAGCACGTTGATAAAAGGAAACGTGCGCGTGTGAATACCATCCTCATTTGTTCAGAAACCTTTTCTTGTTCAGAACTGTGTTAGCTTTAAAATTAACCAAAAAGGAATTTGGCAAGGGATTATATTAAAACAGGTTGCAGAGAATATAAAAGAATTACTAGACTTCATTTCAAAACTTGTTTTAACATTTTAGGCCTTTCAATACATCAATTCCTTAGAATTTATCATAGGAGCGCTCAGTTTCCATCCTTGTCATATTAACCTGTGGAACTCCCTGCTATTAAATAGGTCTGATGACAAGAGCTTAATGAGACTTAAAAAAAAAAAAAAAGTGTATAAACTTAATAGACTCATGTTCCTTTTTCAAAGTAAAAACACTGCTTCAGTATTTAAGGTGACCTCCAGTGGTAAGTGTCAGAAAGCACATTTTGAGGTGGGTTATTTTGCCCACTGCAGAGGTTTGGTGCAGTCGCCACTGAAGTATCTGTAAGATAGAAACACCTACATTTTCTTGGAAATATTGATTAGGTTTTCTCTTAATCAGTTACCCCAACTTTCATGTTCTTAGGCGCTGGAATATGCTAAGAAGATTCCTAGACCAAAGACTTTCACAGCAAGACAATCAGATGAAGAGGTGAAAGAGGAAAGAGTTCTGCCACAGACTTTAAATGGACACAGTTTACCTCAAATTACATCCTTGGAAACTTTGCAAAATAGACATGAGAAGGAGAAACAAGTTGTAGCTGCTTTCAGAAGCCTTCATATCTTCTAAGTAGCTTGAAATTAATAGGGATGTCTTCAAGGTAAAAATGTGTGAACTATTTAATTATGAGCTATGATCGTTATATACTGATTTACCATTCCATTGAAATCTAAAGTGGCTTAAGTTTAATCACTGTTAAATTTTACAATCAGTTCTAATATAACTAATTTTTTAAAATGTGAACAGTTGCATACGTAGCATTTTAAATATGGCCACCTCATTATTTTTCTTTGAAATCAACTGATCTAGCAGCTGCATCTTTCAGACTAATCAGCTGTTGGCTTGTTGCAGCTGGATCATTTTGAGACATGTCAAACATGGGCATATCTACAAAACATTAAAAATAAACATCAGTTTCATTTGATGATCTTAATACCAGCAATGCTTCTCTTTTTTGGAAGTGCAGAGGAGATTTTGGCAGACTGTCCAGAAATAAAGCCAAAAATAATCCATTACTGGTAAGAATGAGAACAAAAATGTGCACCAAACATAGCAGTTGGTAATGATACAATACTAATTATTCAAATGTTACTCTGCTATCTGTCAGTGAATAGTTGTCACATCAAGACCAAAATTTTGAAGCTTCATCTGGGATGCAAAAATTCAAAACAAGTACTGGCTGATCATGCAGACAATCTGTTATTAGCCAGAAGCAGTTGGAAAAAATATTGAGTAACAGGATAATTGAGAGCTACATGTTTGAGAGGGGACAGCTTTTAACAGATTAAATCTATAAAAATAACAACAAACAGATGGGTTTGTTATGATGGTTCCATTTCTTTAGCTTAGTAAATTATGAATTAAGTCAACATGTGAGATGTGATTAGAACACACAGCAAGGGAATTTTGAAGAAAACACACTAAAATCTCTTAGAAAATAGGCTAGTTAAAAGAAAAAAGAAAAAAAAAAACAAAAAAAACCAAACCCACCACCTTGTGATTATGTGTTATTGCTTTATCAAATTTATTAGGTCCCCTTTTGTATGGCAGGAGAGAGAGAATTAGTCTTTGGGGAAAAAAAAAAAAAAAAAGGGGGGTTGAGTCTCCTTGAAGGAAGCTAAAAATGGAAAGATAAAGTGGGGAATAAAAGAGAGAATATCTTCAAAATGGCTTTCTCTTCTTCTAGATGCACCTCTTCTTAAAGGTAGAGAGAGAAATGGGTAAGACTTAACATTTCTGGGCTAACATTTCTTTGGCTGAATGGCTCCCAGGAAAGAGAGTTTTCTGGTGGGTGTACAGTGAAGTCAGGGCGTTGGAGGTATGACACAGATTGCTGGAAAAGCCCCGTACCTTTCATTTTATGGAGCCCTGGCTGAGTTTGACCTGGACCCTACAGTCCTCAGGGTGCCTCGGTCCTCCTGGAAGTGTGTTCGTTGCTGCAATACACCCACGGGATCTCCAGTCAGGCTCCCAACCTAACATGGGGAAAACTGACCCCCATACTGCATCTCTCCACGTTAAAAAGGACACGTTCCTTTCTTTGAAGCCCTCCTGACCCCCCTACCTGAGATGGGGAACTCTCCACGCAGGCAGTTCCTTCCCACCACACGCTGAATTAGACTGTTCCACGTCACCGGCGGAAGTTTGTGATGTACATAATCGTTAGAGGAAGCTTGGTGGAACATCATCTTCGATGGACCACGTTCTGCCTCAGCCTCCTTTCTCCTCACCTTTGGGAACTGCATTTGCCTCCCGTGGTAGAATGTGTGTCTGTGGTATGATCCATCAAGCGAGGATGGGTAAACGTTTCCATGCTCTGCCAGTTGCTGCTTTCCTTCTTTTATTTTTAAACCAAACGGTAACACTTTGAAGCATTTCTGATTAGGGAACCTCAACTTGTTGTTTCTGCTCAAAAGTGATAATCCCCCCTTAATACAAACCTCAAGTACCTGTTTTAATGAAACCTTCAGATGAATATTAAAGAGCTATTTACTCGTATCTAATATTTTAATTAGATTATATTCTCAATTTAACCCATTAAACTCCCTTTGATGATCTCCATGTTTAGTGTTTAGCCCCAGATGCTGGAAGTAATGAATATTGGACCTTTGATTTAATGAGAACTTCTGCCTTTCCAGCCTGACTCCCTTTGTATCCCCCTTTTTTTATTTTCTGAGCTATAGAATTCAGTTAATTGAAGAAGTCTCTTACCACCACACATTAAGGAACCTAAATTAGCATCCCTTTTCTGATTAGAAAATGCAAGCAGACATTTTCTCTTTGATCTGAGGATTGAGTTGAAGTAGGCAACAGCCCCCTGAAAATGAGCTGATGGCCTTATTATTTGGCTGACATGCAGATGCGTCCATGTGGTGCAAAATGCTTAATGTCTTAATTGATCACCTTCCTCCCTGTCTGTCATCCTACTACCTTTTAGAGCTCCCATAAATTAGGGTGAGCTTTCTGGGTAGGCGCTGTGCTTCATTTGTTGGGTTTTTTTTTAATAAAACAATGAACTTTTAGGAAACATTTAAATACTAAACCCGTGCTGAGCTAGAAGCCATCTATACTTACACGATGCTGCATCTGGGGGGAGGCGGAGAAGGGTCTTTTTTAAAAACACTCATCATTATCATCTCACAAACCATTTGGAAAGGACTGTTTGGGTTTGGTGTTTTGTTGGTTTTTTTTTTTCCTCCCAGAAAAAGACATTATTTGCAGCATATGTGGAAGGAAAATCTTTTGATCTACCTCAATACTAATGCAAATTTTTTTCCTGCTCCTAACAGATATGGTGGCACAAAAAGGGACCATACAAGTAAATGATGAGCATCCATCTGCTTAAAAGCAAAGGCCAAAACTTAATGTCTTTCAGATTAGGAAGACAAGGAATTTAAATAAGAAATAGGCCTTGAATTTTGCATTAAGTATGCAGGAGAGATTGAGCTGGAGTAGAACCTGCCTGCCGTGGTCCCACAGCTACCGCAGGGCGCGGTGTTGCTCGCCATGAGCACAGGCTGCCTTCACAGGGGCAGAGATGTGTTTGCATCCACCTCCCAGTAAACATTTACTTGGCAGGCCCACTTTAGTGCCACCATTGCTTAATATTTTAGATTCAGGAAGCAGTCAAAGACCCAGGGTCAGTTAAGAGCAATGCTGCTGCAGTAACATCGCCATCACGTTCCGTTCAAAGACAACTTGACATCGACTTCCCACCACCATCTCACAGAAGGTATGAACAGCTGGCTTGTAGGCTGCCCACTGACAAAAACATCCTGTTTTATCACTTAAAGCTGGGGATGAGCCTCTTTAACTGAGGAATAAGTGATAGGACAAGAGGTAGAGGCCTCAAGTTGCGCCAGGGAAGGTTTAGACTGGATGTCAGGAAGGATTTCTTTGCAGAAGGGGCTGTTGGGTGTTGGAATGGGCTGCCCAGGGCAGGGGGGAGTCCCCATCCCTGGGGGGGTTGAAGAGTCGGGCTGAGCCAGCGCTGAGGGATCTGGTGGAGTTGGGAACTGTCAGGGTGAGGTTGATGGTTGGACTGGAGGAGCTTCAAGGTCCTTTCCAACCTAGTTGATTCTGTGAAAAACATGAAATAAGAGAGCCAGAAGCCACGGTCCATCATCTAAAGACAAACTGTCAAAGATGAGGATTGTAAACTAGATGATGTCTAACTCCTGCGGGCATCGAGTACTTCAGATAGGCATGAACAAGCTGTAACGTCCAAACAGCCCACAAACCAAGCATTTGATAAGTATCATCTCTCATTAGGGATTAATTCTACAGTAAATTATAATAGCACAAAGAATATGTATTATTATTATTATTATTATTATTCTTCATGTTTCCCAAACCTTAGTGCTCTCTGTCTGAGAGTAAGCAGGCACATGAAGAAAGAGCCAACTCCAGTGACTGCCTGTGGTGTGAGACCAAGCTCTAGGTGCACAGACTCACAGGGATAGGTAACGGTGATGAACCCCCACTGGTGACAGCTGGCAAAGGGTGAGTGAAAGCAGCCTGCCTCCCAGAAAGAGCCTGCTTTGAACAGGAGCGATACCGAGCCAAAACCGGGATAGAGCAGATGCTAAAGAAGCATCCAGCAGCTCAGCAAGAGCTTTGCATAATCGTGAGGGCAGAGTGGGCAGCTGCAGGTAATACCACAGAGCTAGTTTGCTGTGTGTCTTCAGAGCACTTAAGGGTTTGTTCCAGCAATCACTGAAAGCCAGAGTACTGAGTCTTTAGGAAAAGTACTTTAGGAGAAAACTTTTTAAGCTAAGACCGTCCAAGCAGTTTACAGTCAGTTCAGGTGATGCTGTTTGTTATTGTGACTAGCAGAGAGGAAGAACAAAGTCATCAGTTCGGGAGGCTCCAACATTCAGGAGTTCACGGTGCTGTAGTCAGCATCCTCTCTACCTTCACCTACCCCTCCTCTGCTCCCAGCCTGGCCCACGCCTGCAGAAACTTTCCCTTAGAAAACCAATGGGAAAAATTACCCCAAGTCCATCAGCCAGCGGAGAGAAACACTCAGAGGAAGTTGTAGAAATAATTTTACATAGCCCTGACCATAGAAGCAAAGAGCAGCCTGCCTCCCTTGGGTTGGAACAGCTTTCCAGTCCCATAAAAGTTAAAAATATTAAGGGCAACAGACAGGAAAATGCTTGAAATCAAAACAGAAAGCAAGGGTTCATGGAAGAATTTTATAGACCGTTTTTTTTTTTTTTTCTTTAATGAAAACAACAACAAATATTAACACCTATATTAATATTAAAAATGTAACACCTAGGTGTTAAAATAAATTAACAGGGAGCAGATTAGTTTAATGAAAATTTCACAGAAGAATTTTAATGAAAATCAATACTTCAGTGGATTTCTAGAAAAATACTAAATCCACTGAGATTTTTTTATTGCCAGCAGTGATTTTCTGCAAGCCATTTCCATCCCAGCATTTCCCAACCACATAAATATTTAAAAAAAAAAAAAAGAGCCATCTTTAAACAATCTCTCCCCTACTCCTCGAACTGCTTGAGGAGAGCAGCAAAGGCTGAGTCACTGAATAAGTTAAGACCCAGGAATAAACCCTCACTTCACTCATTCTGAGAGAAAAATCTCCGAAATAAACACACAAAAATGCCTTCACAGTCCTTCCTCCTTCCTCTCCACTCTCCAAACACGTGCTGACCTTTTCCCAAAAGCTTGCCCAGGAAAGCAGAGCCTCTTGTCACCAGCCAGCAGGCATTGCTGCCCAGCGCGGAGGCAGCTGGCTGGCGGGGGGGAGGATGGCTCAGGTAGCCACTACTTGCTTCCTCCGTCTCAGTCTCGGGGGGTTTTGCCCTTCTTTGCACCAAGTTTTGGGGGATAAATTCCCAAAGCTGCCTCCTGTTGCTCTCAAGGCTCAGTGCACACCTCTGCAGTGTCCGGGCTGGGCTGGGGCCTCCCCTGGGGTTGGGTGGGTCACACTCTGTCACTGAGCGGCCCGTGGCTTCGGTTTTAAACCTGATTGTCATTTTAAATATTAGCCAAGGTGCCTAGAACCTCAGAGAGGTGAAGGTAGGTGGGCGTTTGCGGATTTTATTTCACTGATCAGCATAAATACTTTGTGAAGAAGAAAGCTCTTGCGGTGACGGGGGAGAGGCAGCAGAGACTTGGGTGTTATTTGCTCCGTATTCTGACCCTTCCTCACAGACCTGGCACGTCCTAAGCACGATAATGCTGGTGGCAGAAGAGGGAACAAGCCCTGTCGCACCCCTGTGCCCCAGAGGAACTGTGACACCTCGCTGCTGAAGGGGCCCCTGCCCAGGGGACAGCAGCGGGGGAGATACCTGCTGGTTTTATCCCCCTTGCTGTCACGGGGTTGTGGCACAGCAAAGGTCCTGTGCTGCAGAGCCTGGGACACGTTCCCAGTGCCTGCACCCGAACCCCAGGATCCTTCCCTCCCCCGGACCATAAACATCCCCAGCCCAGGGGTGTGCAAACGCCCCAGCTGCTGTGACAGAGCCGAGCACTAACAGCTGGGGGGTTTGGTGCAGAGGGAACGTGGCACTTGGTGACACAGCACCCGACCACGCTGCTCGCC